GGTATAAATCAAATAAATAAATAAATTATTGGTTATAAATAAATTATTAAACAACCTTCAGAACATGGCCAAAGAGCCCGCAAAACCCACAACAACCATTAGATCCCGGCCGTGAAAGCCTACGCGAATACAAATAAATTATTATTCAGAAACACCAGGCACAGTTAATCAAAATTATAAACATATGGACTGGTACTTCATAACAGACACATCTTGCAACCAAAACCCTAAGTATCTGTTAAATATCAATAGCCGTACAGCACAGTACATATGGCTGTTCCTAAAATTGCTGGGTTTTTTTCTAACTCTGATGGTGTCATTCCTAAGACCTGCAACTGCTTATAGTAGTACTGTGTGAAATTTCTTGATATTGTTCCCAAAGCCCCCATGATGACAGGTACCACTGCGGTGTGTTTCTTCCAGAGGCGAGATGTTTCAATGGCCAGGTTTCTGTACTTTTGTTAGTTTTTCCAATTATCTTCAACTCTGGCATCCCCTGGAATTGCAATGTCAATGATCCAAGACATTTCTTCATTAATATTATTATTATTATTTGGCTGACAGAACTATTTCTCCCACCCTTTCTTTTGGGAAAGGTAACCGTAGCTTGTTGGTGTTTATTTGCTTCTAGTCTTCCGTTAGGAAGTGACAACATGTAATGGCATTTGGGGCTTTGTTATTGTTGGGCATTCTTTTTGGTAACTGATGGTGCAAATAATTAGTATTTAAATATTCTGCATTGCATCAGGAGCTACTGCATACTAGTGGTAATTCATAATTACTGTACAAACCAGTGTTAGCATTGCTAATTGCTGTCTGTGGGTGACAAATTTTAATTGTAATAGCAAAATTAAGCAGTTTCGATTATTACTTAGTCATTACAACATCCCTTATATCTAATTATGTTTTTTATGATGGACCTGGCTGCTTAACCTGTTATTGTACTCAAGGTCTTTTAGCTGCTAACTGTACCAGGTAGGAGGTTAAATTTTAATTGCTAGGATTTTGTTACAAGGAGAGCTCTTCCTGTTGACAGCACAGGAGAAATAAGCAAGATATTCTCTTCATACCCCAGAAATATTTTGATTACTGAGTGAGTCACGATTTAATTTGAAACAACCTGACATATTTTCCTTTGGTTGTTGTAGGTTTTTTCGGCTGTTTGTCCATATTCTGGAGGTTTTTCTTCCTAACGTTTTGCCAGTCTCTGTGGACAGTATCTTCAGAGGACAGGAGTTAGAACTCTGTCTGTGTTCTCAACTATCCCACATATTACACCAGAACACAGACAGAGTTCTAACTCCTGTCCTCTGAAGATGCCGCCCACAGAGACTGGCGAAATGTTTGGAAGAAAAACCTCCAGAAGACAGCCAAATAGCCCGAAAAACCTACAACAACCATCACATCCCAGACATGAAAGCCTTTGAGAATACAGTGGTGCCTCACTTGACGATTACCTCGTTAGACAAGGAAATCACTTGACGATTAGTTTTTTTCAACGCTATTGCGATTGCTAAACAATGACTGAATGGGCTTTTTTGTTTAACGTTGATTGGTTCCCTGCTTCAGGAACCGATTTTTCGCTTAACAACGATCAAAAACAGCTGACAGACATGAAAGCCTTTGAGAATACAGTGGTGCCTCACTTGACGATTACCTCGTTAGACAAGGAAATCACTTGACGATTAGTTTTTTTCAACGCTATTGCGATTGCTAAACAATGACTGAATGGGCTTTTTTGTTTAACGTTGATTGGTTCCCTGCTTCAGGAACCGATTTTTCGCTTAACAACGATCAAAAACAGCTGATCGTCGGGTTTCAAAATGGCCACCCGCTATGCAAAATGGCTCCCCACTGTGCTTTAGGACGGATTCCTCGCATTGCAGGCACTGACGCCCTATGGAGGATCTTTGCTGGGCGCTGAGGTATTTCGCCCATTGGAATGCATTTAACCGGTTTTCAATGTATTTCAATGGGCTTTTTCATTTCGCTTGACGAGCATTTCGCTTAACAGCGATTTGAACGGAATGAATTATCCTCGTCAAGTGAGGCACCACTCTACATATTTTCCTTTCTTGGATCAAAGCATCATATGACAAGAGCAATGGCATTCTTCTACCATTTCATAAATTAGACTAGAAAAGTGTGATTTTTCAAAAATCAGCAATTAAAGTATAACATTAAAAAGCAAATACATTTTGAGGAGAGACAGTTACAAGATGGTAGATACTTGACACAGCAATACAACATGTGAGAAAGATGTTGGAACTGTTGTCAACTACAAACCGAACATGAGCCAACAGTGCAATGTGGCTGCAAAAAAGGCAAATGCTAGCTTAGGTTGCATAAACAGAAGTACAGTCATATAGTCTCCAAATCATGTGCAGTACTAGTTCTCCTCTACTCAACACTGGTTAGGCCTTGTCTTGGGTACTGTGTCTAGTTCTGGACACTGTGCACTAGCAGAGATGCAGACAAACTGTAACATGTTCAGAGGAGGGCAATAAAGATGATCAGAGGACTAGAAACCAAGAATACCTAAGACTGAATAATCTTCCTCCAGAGACTCGTGCAGCCCCTTTGCTGGGCATTGTTAAAAATCAACTGAAAACTAAGATGTTTACGCAGGCCTTCCCTCCAGTTAATACCTGATTCCCTTTTCTTTTTCTTCCTTTTTTATCTTGAATAATCTGTATATTGATGTATATTTTGTTATATTTTATATGTTGTGTTTGTATGTTGGAAGCCGCCTAGAGTGGTCGTTCGACTAGATAGGCAGGGTATAAATACAACCACAGGACATATAATTGGACATGTTCAATCTTGAGAAAAGGAGACTAAGGGGAGATATAGTAACAGTCTTCAAATATTTGAAAGGTTGTCGTTCAGAGAAGGGTCAAGATCTCTTCTTGATCATCCCAGAGTGCAGGACATATAATGGGCTCAAGAGACAGGAAGCCATATTTCAGTTGAGTATCAGGAATGACTTCCTGTTGCAGCAGTAGGGAAGTGTAACCAATTACTTTGGGAGGTGGCCAGTGCTCCCAACGCTGGAGGCACTCAAGAGAAAATTAGACAACCATCTGTCAGGTGTGTTTTAGTTTAAATTCCTATGTTGGTCATGGGTTTTGACTCAGTGGCCTTATAGGCCTCTTCTAAATCCCATTAGTCAGACGGACGTCCCACTGGATTTAGGTTTAGTGTGCTGCTGTTCTTTCAGCTTCAAACACTGCTGGTTTTCTATTCTGTTTTCTCCGAAAGTGCAAAATCGACATGAAATTCAACACTGAACGATGAAGCAAAGGCCTTCAGCTTGGATCCTTTTTATTTACACATCTTTGCAAAAGATGTCAAGAGTTTATATGCTTGGTCAAGCCTAACCGGTGTTCGTGGGCAGCAGTGGCTAGCAGGTGCCAGCTCCTAGGGTCAGAGTGGGAAACCTTAACCAATCTTTAAAAGCACTCAGCAGCACTGATTCAAGCATTTAACAAGAATGATCCACCTTTCTCTCACCAGAATGTATGTACAGAATGAGAGGGAGAGAGGGAAGGAGAGAGATAAAGGAGAAATACAGTGGTGCCCCACTGGACGATTACCCTGCTTGACGATGAATCCGCTTAACGTTGAAGTTCTTGCGATCGCAAAACGATGTTTAGATGGGGAATTTAGCTTAACGTTGATCGGTTCCCTGCTTCGGGAACTGATTTTTTGCTTTATAGCCACTGGCTGTAGAATATGGCTCCCCGTTGTGTTAGGGACAGATTCCTTGCATTACAGGCACCAGAAAATGGTTGCCGTATGGAGGATCTTCGCTGAACGAGTAGGTATTTTGCCCACTGGAATGCATTGAACAGTTTTCAATGTGTTTCAATGGGTTTTTTATTTTGCTTGAGGATTTTGCTCTACAGCGATTTCGCTGGAATGAATTAACATTGTCAAGCAAGGCACCGCTGTAAAGGGAAGGCCAAGAGTATGCCCACTTGAACGCATTGAACGGTTTTCAATGCGTGTTTTATTTCGCTTGAGGATTTTGGTCTACAGCGATTTCGCTGGAATGAATTAACATTGTCAAGCAAGGCACCGCTGTAAAGGGAAGGCCAAGAGTAAGGATAACAGAAAGAGGGGGGGATTGACAAATATAGCATAAAAGAAAAAAGAGGAAGGCCAAGAGTAACGATGACAGAAAGAGGGGGGGAATTGACAAATATAGCATAAAAGAAAAAAGATGGCCTGCCCAGTTTTTACTCATGGCCCATCAACTGTTGGCCACTCCCAAGAGATTGCCCCCAAAGGAATGTAGTCACCCCACCCACCCAAAAAAGATTTATCTCCCCCAATGTTGGCTCTAGTTTCCAGCCCCCTCGGTGGGGCTCTACTCTGCCATGTGCAACTTGCCGCTCCCCCCAATGCAACTCCACCCCCAACCTGGGGTCCTTTTGAGACTAGAGTGAATAGGGTCAGAAATGATTGATGTGGGTGTACGAAGGAAGAAAGCTGCATGGAGGAGGGGATGGAGCTGCGCATGCTCGCACAGTCACACACCTTAGAGGAAACCTCCATGTCCCCTGTGCAGAGGAGAGTGGCTGCTACTTGCAAATCTCTTTCTGTCCTGTACTCATGCTCCAAAGCATAAGTAGAAGGCATTTCTGGATCCTGTTCTAAAAAATGATCAGAGAGCTTGACCATAACTAGCGAGACCCAATTCAAATGCCCACTCAACCATGAAGCTCACTCTTTCTGAGTCAAAATTAGACCCACTGGATCATTGAGAGGGTAAAGTGATAGGAAGGACATATGCTGCTCTTAACTCTTTGGAGGAAAAGTGGGATAAAAAGGAATTTAAAAAAATGTTTTCCTAAATTTTCTGCATTCCATAATTCTGGACCTTTCTAATAGTGCTTCATTTCTTTTATTGCTGGCATCTGTTATTTTATTTTGTACTAATTATATGTCTTCATACAGTAAGACTAGGTTGGAGTGTAGAAACCAACAGATAAACATATTCCTTCTCATATTTATTAGAAAAAAAGTTAAGTCACTTCAATTAGGAAGCTGTGCCTTCGAGAGACAAACTGCCAAGGTCTTTAGTTCTTGTTTTAGACACATAGTTGAAGCTGTCCAAAAGCGACCTACAGTGATTTTTAAGGAAAGGCATGCAGTACTTTGGCACACAGTCATACTACCATGTGTAAGTCACAATAATAGCTTCAAAATTAGTTAACAGTCCGCCTAATACATCAGCATCTTTCCTTATTCTAAACTACATTCAAAAGCCAACTGCAGATTCCCAGGCTGTCCAAAGCTCCCATATTAAATTGCCCAAAAGATTCACGCCTGCAGCAAAAATAGCAACCAGGCAGCTCGGAAAGTGTATGACCCAAACAGGTATTTAACCGTGAAGACATGTGATGGTCAACATTTTCAAGACCTGTGTCTTCAATACTTGTAAGGTCCCAACCCACGATTGTCGTTAGCAATGGTTTTGTACCTCTTTGCCAAGCACTTAGCGCTCTGCTTTCCCAGAACACGGCCGTGCCCACAAAAGGAACAAAGCAAGGATGGTCATAGCCTCAAGTATCCCACATCCTTCCAAGTCTGCCCAACCGTCTGCTGGTGGCACAAGCCTCGGCGTTTAGGAAATGAAGTGTGTCTGTGGCGTGACCTGATCGATTTTGTGGTCAGCTGGGTTTGCTGCTGCTTCGTAGTTGCAGATGGTCACTTCGTGCCGATGAGGCTGGAAAGAAATAAAAGATGACAACTTCCTGAGATGCAAACCTGACCACCAAAGCCAAAGTCATCTCATCTTCTTAATCACCATCCCCATTTTCCACCTCTAGACTCTGGATGACTTTTGGTTGCTCTGAGAAATCTTACGTTGATGGGAACCAAGTGCTGGGAAATTAATGGCACTACTGTATCTCGGCCATTTGCTAGACCTTGACTATCAACCAAGCCGCACCTATTCAGCTTGGTGGAATCCTGCCCCGCTGAGAAACAGCAACAACTGCTTCTACCCCAAAGGGGATGGGGGGGAGGGGTGACAGAACACACGACAATAAACATTTACCTCTGTCCATTCTCCCCGCAAGCCTATATAAAAGATCTTTGTTGTCTCAGCACCAAAGTTTTTGGAGAAGTGGATGGAGAGATGATGAACGTTTGAGAAGCGTGCAATCCTGAAAGACCAAAAAGAATTTCCACTGTTGTGCATATAAAATTCTTGTAATGCACTACAGTTACATTCCAGTGTGTGAAACAATAATGGTTATCAGGACCATCACACTGGGAAACCAGGAGAACCAGTTTACATTGAGTCCTTGGGATAAAAAGAAACCGATAAGGGGGGGGGAGAGAGAATCTTTGTATTCTAGGAAACAAGGTGATTTTTCCTTTGTTCCCTTACCACCACTTTACATGCACCTACACGTGCTGCTAGGTTGTCCCCCTCATGCACAAATTTTAGGAGCAGAAACTTAACATGTGCCATACAAAAGCAACAGCAAAATGGCTGTTTCTGAATCATACAGGAAAATACAGAATAAGACAGCAATCTGGTACACAGGCATTTGCCCTTCACTTCATTGTTCCACATCAAGGCTCCTTGTGCTCAAGGAGATATGACAGAACAAAGTTCCCAGTGCATCTGCAAGTGGAGGAATGAGTGAACATCCTGGTAACCAATGTTTCCTCTAGCTGCATGTGTGCATGTCTGCCCAGAGGTCTGCTGGGGTTGCGCACAGGCAGCTGGTTTATTTACTTCCCATTTCGAATGAAGACCCACCCACCCCTACATGCATGGAGCGAGACTCCCGCACAGCGGGACAGAAACTTAGAGGGAACATTAGAGAAGACCTATCAAATATTTTGGAACTCGGGGCCCATCAGTTTCAGAAGGTTTCTGAAGAACAGAATGTTGTTGAAGCCTAGTGGATGCTGAGTAAACAGTGACATACTTGGTAGGATACTCCAATTCTCCTGTAATGTCACGATTTAGGCTGAACATCTGATCGGGTTCTCTGGCTGCATCATCAAAAGACATGTGAGGAACGTTCTTAAACCTAGAGAAAGGCAAGAGAACAGAAACTGTCAGCCTGCCCAAAACCTAAGAGTGTTTATAAACCACCTTCACTACTCAACTACTGTAGTAATTTAGCTTTAAAATGGGAATGAACTTATGCAGTGTGTAAGACAAATGTAAACAAAAAAAGAACAGGGAAGAAACACAATACAGTAAAATTAATTTTAGGACTCTACAGGCTAATATAATACTCTATCCTACTAATCTGGAGTGTGCAACGAGGAAGAGGCAGCCACAAAGTAGAGAAACATACAGTAAAATTAATTTTAGGACACTGTAGGCTAATATAATACTCTATCCTACTACAGTGGTGCCTCGCTTAACGAGTGCCTCGTTTAGCGATGAATTCGCATCATGGTAATTCTGAATCTCAGTGAATTTAAACAATTCCTTTTTTTTTACAGGGCTGTAACACAGTTATTTCAAACTAAATGGAAGATACATAAATCATTTACTGCAAGGTAGCCCAAATAGCCACTGCTGGATGCACTACTGAAAGAAAAAGAGGAGCAAGGAGGAAGAAACCATTCAGATCTTTGTCAGGTTAAAAAAGTGTCTGTGGTACACAATAAATCATTGGAAATGTCATCGTTTTTGGTTCTACTTACAGCCTCATTTCTGATGGGTGTGTCTCATCATCCTCTCCCATAACAATTACTCCTTTTAATTTCACATTGCCAGTAAACCTGCAAGAATAGATATATCACTGACTATTCAAGCAGCTGTGTGCTATTCTTCAAGGGTCTCTCTCTCCGATTGGAGGACCTGCCTCTGCAGTTTGGTATTTTTATCATCTCATCCCTCATCCTGCAAGATCTTTTGCAGTTCCTTCTTCCGTCTCTCCCCTCTGCCCAATTCCCCAGTGAAACGGCCTAGAAACTGGGCCGTGACACCATCTGCTACAAAGGAGACAAACTTCATAAACATTTCAGGCAACTCAAATATATAGTTTCTTTTTCTGGGCTTTAATATTAAAGACTTCAGGAGCTCAACATGGCTGAGATTCAGATAGAAATAAGATAAAATAAGTCATATTTCATATTTGCTTCCTATATAATAGGGTCCATAGCTTGACTTCCGTCATTGTTTAGTCGTGTCCGACTCTTCGTGACCCCATGGACAAGAGACTTCCACCAGCCCCTAAATCTCCCCTAAATGTTTCCGTACTACCAGTCAGATTTCCCATCAAAAGAAGAAAGCACAAACAACATATACTGTTCTACATGCGACTGACTCATTATTCATGGGGGGGGAGTTACTTACGGGATATTAAACAGCAGCTCTTCGTCATCATCACTTTCTACAAACTGAAAATAAAGAAATGCAAAACTAGATTTAAGAATCTTTACATTTAGTCTTGCAGCTGATGAAATAAAAACTTAATTTTTCTGTATGCAAATTATATATATCAAATGGGGAACAAAGGTGCCTTGAGATCACCGGAGGGGAAAAGGGGGGGAAAGCATACTGTGCAAATACTGTAACACCCAATGAATTTTGGGAGACATGACTGATTAAACACATTTGTTCGCTTGTCAGTTTTTCAAGCCCTTAATGGTTTAAGGCCTTGCTACCTTTCAGAGAGCCTCTCCCTTAAAACATCTCCCTATCACAGCTACACCTCATATTCTGGGATGGTATGAGCGGCTACGCCAGGAAGACCCGAAAATCTGTCACTTCAAAGCAGGCCTCCTCTGCGGTGGCCCATACCTTTGGCATTCCCTCCCTTCAGAGGTGCGACTGGCCTGTCCCTCCTTAAGGTTTCAGGAAACAACTTAAGCCTCAGCTGTTTATTTTATTTATTTATTTATTAAATTTATACCCCGCCCCTCTAGACCATGTCTCCTGCAAGGCTTTCAGAGGTTTGCCCCAGATTAATTTTGTTTTTCTGTTTACTAGTTCTATTTTCAATCTGTGAACCTCTCCCTGCCAGCCACCTCTTATTCTTGTAATTTTACCGCCTTTCTTTAAATGCTCTCATGTTTTCAGAGCTCGTGCCTCGTATGACACTGCCTCTGAATTTTACTGTTGCTCCTATTCTTATTATAATATGATGTTATTTTGATCTTGATAACGTTAGCTGTCCAGAGTAGTGGCTTTGCCACTAGTTGGGCGGGATAAGAATGTAATTAAGCAGACAGACAAATAAGCCGCTCACATGAATTAACTGCAGTTTCTAGGCGAGATGTGATTTAATTAATTGAGCAAGCAAGCAAGCTGCTACCTGTGAATGAACCCCAGTCTGGAGGTGGGAAATAGTTTAATTAATTAACTAACTAAGCAAGCTGCTGTCAGTAAATGCACTCTAGTTGGCTGGTGAGAAGCGATTTAACTAATTAATTAATTAATTAAGCAAGCTGCTGCCAGTAAAGAAACTGCAGTTTGGAGGCGAGGAAGTGGGGGGGGTCGCAGTCGTCCGTAGTCGTCCCCCCCCAAGCCAACCATCACGTACAGTTGTGAGGGGGAGTCTTGACCCCCCTCACCGGCCCCTTCCCATACCAAAGGGGGGCACGTGGATGCGCATGCGCGAGCGAGGGCCCCCCTCCCTAAAAAAAACCCCAGAGCACCTTCTGGCGGTCGCCGCGGTCCTCCCAGGCGCGGAAGACCAGAGCCCCGCTGCCCTCCCTCCGCTCGTTGAGGCACTCCAGGCGCTCGCGGTCGATGCGCAAGTAAAGGCCCCAAGCCTGGCCGCGGCGCTCGGGAGGCTCTTCGGGGTCGTCGCCATGGCAACAGCTGCCCCCGCCGTGGCTGTGCCCGTGAGACATGGCCCCCCGCCCCTTTTTTTCCTCTCCGTAAACAAGCCCACCCTCCACCACGCGCCGAGAAAGGGGTGAAAAAGAACCCGGATGTCAACACAAAAAACACGCATGCGCCACGCCCCCATTGGTGGGCGCTTCCTGTCACGTGACGAGGAGCCTCTTCTTCTTCTCTCTCTCTCTCTCTCTCTCTCTCTCTTCGAAGCCCCAGACGCCCCGCCTCCTCCGGGAGAGACCGGTAACCTTCGAGGTGCCCGTGGGCGGTCCTTCTGTGGCTCATAGAGATAGAAAAAAAAAAGAAGGGGCACTGAGCACCTTCAACGTCCGGTACCCCTCGATATTCGTCGTCCGCGGGCTGGCCCTCTGTGGCTCATAGAGTTAGAAAAGAAGACGGGCGGGGGGGCTCCTGCACCTCTAACTTCCGGTACCAATGGAAAGTACAGAAAATATAAGCAACACCAAAACGCATTCAAAGCTGTAAGGAACATTACATTTAAAAACCCCACTTAGGCAGCCAAGTCACTGAGGGAAAGCCTGCCTGAAGAAAATGGTCTTCGCCTGCTTGCAAAAGGACAGCTAAGATGGGGCCAGCCTGGCCTCCAGTGACAGGGAGTTCCAGAGTCTGGGGGCGGCAACAGAGAAGGCTGTCTCTGGTGTGGTGTTTGGAATTTGTGTCCTAAATGGTACAGCAGAAATAAAATTTTAGGGGACCTGGGCCTGCTTTTGGTGTGAGAGGTCTATTTAGCTGAGACACTCCTTAGTCAAAACAAAGGCTCCTACTAAACAGCAGGGCAGACATGGTTTGATCTGCCGTTTTGCAAATTGCATTTCCTCGGGGTTGAAAACCCTTTAGCCCTCCCAATGACAGTTGGCACGAGTCAGCAGAAGCAAAGACTTGTGTATGCCAGGAGCTCCCTCAACAGAAGCTACTTTTGACAAGGTGCTAACAAGGTGCACATTGGCAATTTCCACCTCTCTTTTTTATTTATTTTTCTTAAATGCTTTGAGCCTTTTTTTAAAAAAAAATCTATTTGGAGACAAGAAGTACTTGGTTGAAGACACTTCCCCCTGCTGTTCCCAAGTCAAGAGAAACAGTGCCACAATGAAGGCTTTTCTGCATTGAGCTTCACATCTTATAGCCAATAGGTTTTAATTCAAATTCACCTGTACCCATCCAACGCCAATTGCAAGGCAAATGCCTGGTGGAGTGGCCGCCTAACTCTCTGAAGTTTTTCATATTCACTCCATGTTTTATACATAGGCTCCAGTTTGGTGGATCCCAAATAGTATTCCCCTCTAATTTTCTGCCAGTGTTGGGTGAGGATCCTCCTGTGCGCATGCAGAGTTCCAGCCATGACTGGAAACAAATGGACAGCAGCATCCGTGTGGCACTGATGTAGCCCTGGACGGTTGTGCAGTTTAGAAGGAACGTTGATCCCAAGTTATTGTATTCATTCATTCAATCAATCCATTTATATACTGCCAGTCTAACAAATTGCTACTCTGTGCAGTGTATGACAAATTAAACTTCCATTATACAGTAATACAGACGATAGGCCATCCCAGACATAAATTATCCATCCTGCAAACCCAACTCAACAACAAACCCAGGGATTTGCAGGTTTAAATCAACCATTAATGGTCCCTAGACAACAGTTCTACAGCATGTGTGACCTACTAACACAAAATAGGAAAATTCAACATAGAGATCTTGTTTATTTCTCTCATCAGTTGGGTCCATAAAGAACCTTTGACTCCACTGACAGCAACGTTCAAATGGAAACCACAGCATGCGACCGAGAACCAGAATGATTGCACACAGCAATTACTGTACACAGTTTGGGGTTTGTGTCATGCAACTGAAAGAGGATTCTCTTTGATAAATCCTACACAGTACTAGCTATATGTACTGTGCAGGATTTATCAAACCCGTCTTGTGGTTTATCTGTTAGTTTGCTGAACTGTTAAGGCTTGAAACAAAGAAAAATGTAGAACTGTGTGGGGCGAGGCTGGAATAAGTACTCTGCACAAGGATTTCCATTTTAAAGAATACGTAGTGGCATGCATGTCCTGTTTCAAATGTTTTGAAGCTGGATCCTGGCTCTTAAACTATTACTGTATATATTAGAAACTTTGGTAATTTGAATGTGTCCTCCAACTGGAAATAGATTAGGTAAAAATGGGCCGAGGGCAGCAACAGGTAGTTTGGAAAAGTTCCTGTCTTGGATGACAGGACCAGAATAGTCCCAGCCATCATGAGCTTACTGTATATATTAGAAACTTTGGTAATTTGAATGTGTCCTCCAACTGGAAATAGATTAGGTCAAAATGGGCCGGCAGGCAGCATCAGGTAGAGTTTGGAAAAGTTCCTGTCTTGGATGACAGCACCAGTATCCTCCCAGCCATCGTGAGCTGGTATTCCTCTGGAAAACCTTTCTCAAACTCTGGCATCAGTCATCTCCCGAGGCCCACCGACGCAAGGTGCCTGGCTGCAAATCTCCAAAGCTTTCTTGCCCACGGACTCCTAAGACTTGAATTCAGCAGTTAAGACGGTGACTCAAGACAAACAAGATGACTCCTCCTCTTGAGTAATTCTGGCAAGCTGCGCCCAAGCCATAGCAGAATGACATGGAGTCCAACCGAGGCCAACGGGAAAGAGACGAGGTACGGCAGAGTTATTCAGACTTGCTGTACAGAACTGCTTCTGTGGATTGGTCACCAAACTCGTGAATTTTTATTTATTTCTCACAATCATAACATATCTCTCTTTCATGGCGTATTAGTATGGAATGTGTGGAAATTGCTACTCTGAAAGAAAGGTAACCACCGTACATGTCACCCCAAATATTCCTTGTTTTTCCTGAAACAAAAACAGGGGGGAAAAAACTAGAGGGAAAATACAAACCCACAGGACAAAATTCCAGTGTTTGGCTTTTATTGAGACACAAATTTCTTCATTTCATATAACTTATCTAGTTAAAATATTCATCTCCATATAGTTACCACAAAAAAGTAAAATAGAAAATTGTTATTTACAGTTGTGAGGGGGAATGAAAAGGCAAAACTAATTCGGCATTGCCTTTCCTTGTAGTATGCAACAAAAAACTGGGGGAGAGAGGATGTTTCCATTCGGTTCTTTTGCGTGTATTGAAAATTAGTAGTGAAAACTGCACCCAGTTTTCAATGCGTCAGATGCCTAGAAGAAAAATCCAAAGCAAAGTCATTTTACTGTGCAGCTGGCCCTGTCTTGGGTGGCCCATCCCGTTAAAAAGAAGGTTCAAATGCTCTCAAGACTTGCTGATTTAGTATTTGGCTCAAGGAGGAAAAGAGAAGGAAAAAGGAAAATCCAATTACTCTCTAAACTAGAGAGCAATGGGTTTATCGGTTTCCTTTCCCCTCTCCTACTAAATCGCCTCTCTCTACTGAGCAAACATATTCTAGTGTTGTGCAGTTAAGTCCCGGTACATGCCCTGTAACTCTGACCAGAAGAAGTCATCGTATGAGTTCAAAATACTGACAGGATGGAGAATTTTCGAGTAGAACAGCTCAATCTCAGGAGGAAGAATATACCCAGTGGCACAGCTGATCATGTTCTAAAAGCGGGTGACCCAGATGTGACTATCCACCAGCATGTTGATGGCAACAAGGGTAAGGACGCCCTACCAGCAGAAGCCTGTTTCTCAAAACATTGCTGGTGTCACCCAGTGGTTCTCAAACTTGGGTCCACAGATGTTTTTGGACTACAACTCCCAGAAATCCTGGCCAGCACAGGCGGTTTCTGGGAACTACAGCCCAAGAAAATCTGGAGAGACCTGTTTTGAGAACCACGGCTTTAGCCCTCCAGCTGCTGCCTCCATCTTGGACTGCGAGGTCACCACGTCCTGAAACCATGCCATGACAGAGCCGCCTTCTAAACTAGCCTCCCTCAAGCTGACACTTCCTGGATGCTTGAGGTTGAAACACCCATTAATAATGGTGATAATAATAGTTTGTTTACGGTCCTTAGACCAGTCACATAAGTATTCCCATTGTCCCTAAGCCAGCCTTTTCATCTAGGGAGTGCTAATTTGAGAAAGACCGTCCCACCCCAAGCCTAGAACAGAAAAGTTGGCAACACCGGGCCAAGTGGAGGGAGGCTGTAGGTGGGCAGTTGTTTTGAGCACGTAATTCCTTAGATGTTTCGTTGGGTGGGGAAAAGTGGGAAGAATTCGCTTTCCTATCTTTGTGGCTAGGAGAGGGGATGCTTTTCATTGCCAGATCCACTGCTAGGTTCCCAGATTTATCACAAAAGTGAGCGCCATGGACACATCCGACACCCTTTCCTCAGCGGTGGGGAACTTGCCCATTTCTTTCCACCTTGTGGCCACTTATCCCATCATTAAAGGACCAAACACACGAAGTACAACAGTTGGCAGAACAGTCATCTATATAATCAACTAAATCATTACAGCAAAATAAAGTACAGCAAAAGCAAAAGGAGCATGGTTTTCGTAATCCAACGTCACAACACACCTTCAAATGCTACACGATGTTGTTAAAGCTTTGCGGGGGGGGGGGCTTGTGACCAGCTCCGGAACACAGTGAGAGAAACCTAGAGCCCCATTTTTCCAAACACCGGCAGAATTAAAATTTTTACACATGTCTATAAAAAAGGGGAGTTGGAGCATCAAAGGTTGTTGTTTGTTAGATCAGACAGAGGACACGAATAGGGTTTTCATGCTCTTCCCGGGAGATGCTTTGAAATGTCCTCGAGCTCCATGGAATTATCCATTTTAAAAGCAAGCTGGGCTTTTTCAGCTGCCAGAACTGTCACCAACTGTGCGTCTGAAGGCCTTTCAGGAGAGGTTAGAGTTTTCCCAAGGGTGGCCTTCGAAAGCCACTGGAGAGAATTTGGTTGTCTCCTCTACGCTACCGGGAAAAGGCTGGGCCCCTTTCGAAACCCTCCTAGCTGAAGGTCATTTTAGTCTTGGCACCAAGAACAGCATACCATCAAGACTCTGAAATGAGATTTTCTCCCCCTGCCCCCAACCCTGTCCCCACCAGTAAAAACAGCCTTATTAGACCATCTCATCCGCTCTGACGCTGAAACAGCAGTAACTGAGAAATGTTGTTCCCCACAATGCTCCTCTGATGGACAGAACCGAGGCATGAGTTCTCCTGGCCTCTCCTAGGGTAAAATGTGGCTCCCAATTCCATTCAGATGCAGGCAGCGCTGCTCCCGGATGAACCAAATTATTTTGCCCAGGGCCTTCTGCGGATCAGGTACCACCCAAGATCAAGAGAGGTTTTAGTTCCATCCTCTTCCTGTCAAGCAGTCTGGCGTGAACACTAAAACAGACCATAAGACAGTGTCGCATCTGCCCTAAGGTTCTTTGCACAGACCTCGTGAATTAAAGTGCCAGTTTGTTCATTTTTTTTAAGCCAGAGAGGTTTTCTGACCAAAACTGAAACTAAAACAGCAGCAACACCAAATCTAAGATTGCTCTCCTGTCGTGAATTGAAGAGGGGAAGGGACGTAACAGAGTCCCCCAAATATGAAACCATAACTCTGTTTTAAAACCGCAGCTGTTGTCAGTAGAGACCAATTTAAAACTTGGGCAAGTGCTTAAAATTTAGACTCGTGTAGAGGGACATTCCTCCCTCCCCGGCCCCCACAACCTCCTGAGCGCCCCTCCTCTCAACAGTTCATACCGCTTGTCCCTCCTAGAAATCTAAAAAGCAGAAGTGGGAGGGTTTGGAGTTGCTGTTGTTTTAATTTTGGGTCAAATGAGCTGCAGGAAAGAACAGAGGGGTCCTCAGCACCAGTTTCTGGTGTCCGTAGAATAGAAAGGCCAAACTGACATGTATCTGGCATACAGATTTTATGAGTGTGTTGGGGGGGTGAATCTGAAATCTGGGGTTTAAGAACTGAGGATATGAGATGCTTCAGAGAAGATTCCACAGAAGGCTGGCAAGGACTCCAGAATTCCCCAAAAGAGCTTGAAAAGGAGCAGCCAAAATCACAGTTAAGGGCCTTTTTCTGGGTAACAGTGTCGCAAAAGAGACTCCTTCGAATGGGACACACAGAGGGACCTGGATCCTTAAGAAGAGGACCGAGACACAAATACCACAAGTAGAAGAAGAAGGGGGGTTTCCTTCCATCTCAAGAGTTCAGAGAGAAAAGACAGAATACAGAGCAACTGTCTGTGGACCTTCTTGTCTCGGCGAGCGCCGAGACGATGCATTTTTTTAAGAACAAAACACTGGGCAGACAGAGTTTGCTTGTGGGATCAGGGAAGGAACCCAAGGGCTGCTTTGAACAATACTGTGCTGTTGTTAGTCTTAGGAGTGGGTCTGGGGGAATTCTTGGCCATCCCTGACCCCTCCCCTCTTTCCCCATCAAGCGCTGCTTCCATCCAACAGAAGAATTCCCTTCTCGCCGGCTCACACGCAGGTCCCTTTATCTCCGGGAAAATCGGTTCTTGAAGGCTTTAATCGTCTTTGCCATCATAGGTGCAATTTCTGAAACAGAAAATGGACAGCGTTGCAGCATCTCTCGGGCAGAAATGAGCATGGGTAAAGTTTGCAATTAATGCCAGAAAAATGGTTATGAAAGAAAAAGTTTCTAGTCCTCGTGAATGGGGGCTAAAATCCTCCCCAATGGGCTGTTTCTACCTAGCATTCAGAGAAGATAAACATTTGGTTTATTAAGGTTTGGGGAGCCCTTTGACTTGGAACATATTGCACTTTGCATTATCCTCGTATTAACTTACTTATGCAAACAGTAACTTCCCCAAGTCTCCTCTTTCTATATTCCCCTGCATCCATTTTCCTCCCACCCCTCGCACCTCACCCAATTCAAAGGCAAGAAAAAGCAGTGCATGAAGCATCGTAACTAGAGATGGGCACGAAATGCCGAACTGGCATTCGGTGCTTCCCAGCCCTGCCTCCTCTGGCAGGCGCCCACTCAGAGGCAGCACCCTGCCCCACCTCTTCCACACACTGCCCCCAAGTGAGCATCCATTGGAGGAGAAGGCAGGCCTGGGAAATGTCCAATATCTGTGCGGCCAAAAAACAAACCAGCACGAATTGCTGCTTCGGCCGTTCGCGCCCATCTCTAATTGCAATGCTTCCGGCCACCAAACATGAAGATCTCCAGCGGAACAGCATGCCACAGTGCTGCTGCTTCTAACGTGACTAGGACAACCGTTTAGGAGAATCTGGGAAAGAACGGAATGTGCCACTGGAAGCTATGAAGGCTGGGCAAGTCCCTCAACTCTACAGCAGCCCAGGAAAGCAAAGGCACAGTCAATGGACTTTACTTACTCTTCACAGGAGGCTTTCGGGGGTCATAGCTGACTGAGGAGATGCTGCTCACAGAGGGTCCCGAGTGGCCGCTGCTCGTGCTGGGCCCATCATAGGACTGCTCCTCTTCAGCATGAATGGTGCTGCTTTTGCTGGGTGTGAAGAACACTGGCTTTATCCTAAGGAAAGAGGGGGGGAAAGGCCCAGGAAGGGATGTGAGATGTCCGCACCCAAGAAATGCTCCCCGGGGGAGGGGGAAGCAATGCACAGTAGGGCTCTTCTATCCACAGGACCAATATCTGCTGATTCATTTATCCACTGCCTCGCTGAATACAAAAACTGAGAAATATGCATACTCTGCTATATATTCAGTGTTTGCTATTATCAGTGATTTTCAGTATCCATTGCAGGCTTGGAAAAAACCCCAAACCTAGAAATCATTTGTTCCAAATCGCTTTGAGTGACTCAGCGAGGGGACCTTCTGGGAAAAGGATGTGGACAGCAAGCAGCACCTTCAAAATCTGCGTGCGTGCTTGTTTTCCTCCCTATTTGTGGTCCTTGTATTCCAACCTCCATCCAGGAAGCTCAGGGTACAGTTTCACCCCCTCCCCTACTGACCATTCTATCCTCCTAACAGCCCTGTGAGGGAGGTCCCCTAAGTGGTCTGAAGACATCCGGTGAGCTTTCTGGCATGATGGAAGTTAGAACCTTCATCTGGCC